TGTGACTTTTCAGAATTTTTAAAATCACATATTTGCCTACGTGAAGTGTATTATTTGTTGTACTTGAAAAATATATTTTAAATCGTATTAGTCTCTGCTAATTTATTATGCTTTACAGAAATTTTATCAAGTAAGCATCAAGGTTTTAACCAATTAGCATTGTTTTATAGATTTCACTTTATATTCCATTTTATAATTCATTTAACTTTTAATTGTTGCATTGCTAATTAGGGTTTCTTCACAGTTTTTTTTTTTTTTTTTTTACAATATTGTTAAATATCAGTGGAAATGACATAAATATTTACCTATACATTCAAATACCACTTTGGGTGAAGCCGACATGTTAAGGGAATTGTAATTATAGCAAGTGCGGGGCACAATCTTGGATGGGTGGTCACTAGTGAGGGACCCATCCAAAATGCCGAGAAAACGATTACACTCCAGCTCCCAAAATCGCATCTATTTATATTTGTGGATCAACACATTCTTTAAAAACACTATTTGTTCCAACTGTTACACTTCGACAAATGTTTTGTTTGTTGGACACAACCACTGCAAACATGGAGTACACTTTCTATCGACACACGTAACTCTGCAAAACACCGGCAGCACCGATGACGTCACTAACGTACCTGCCGAAATTAGGCATTAACGCGGGCAAAACACCGGCAGCACCGACGACGTCACTAACGTACCTGCCGTATTTAGGCATTAACGCGGGCAAACTACTAAATAAAACAAATTGACACGAATTTCAACATTAAGCTGTTTATGATTTAAGCTAAGTTCAATTATTTGAAAAGATAAATACAATGTCCCGCTCATTTTTTATTACTTTGAATGACAACAATTATATAATTACATTTTTCTTCTCATGACAAAAGTAGTAAAACGAATCAATTCAGTATCCATTTTTTTGCTGCAATACTCACACAAGCGATCTGTGCGGCCTGCTTAGCAGCCTCTAATTCCTCCCGTGAAAAACGGGGAAATTTGGAAGGGGAAAAATTCGCCATTATCTACAACAAACACACAAAAGAATATCACAAATAGTACTAACTAATAAAACGAATGTGCAATAAATGAAACATCAGAGTAACGTACCTCGATCTGCCAATTTTAACTGTGTCTATTCAAATGACCGCGCCTAAAGCCCTCGCGAGATTTTATACAACCGCGCTCTCTCATAGGTACGCCTCCGTTTGACAGACCACCACATCTACAAATGAAATTAAACAATGACAGGAAGAACGGTGTCAAACTTTACAGTTATCAAAATCATTTCCTGTACCTGGAAATTCAAAGTAAAACCTTTATAAAAGCTATGAAACAATATTATGAGGTCATATGCATTAGCTTTTTGAGAACTTGATGCATAAAAGCTACACTTTTCTACTCAAAATATCATACACAATTAATTACAATTGTCAATATTAATAAAAAACAAGCAGGAATAGTTAAGGCAACAAGGACTTTATTTTGAAATAATCCCGTTCAACATCGCTAGCGTACCTTTACTGACTGACATAATTTTGAAACGCATTATAAGATGGATCATTAAACAACTACACATGTTGCAAATGTGGCTATGCACCCGAGTTACTCCTATCATCACTACCCAGCTGTACATCTCTGACAAACATCATATCCAGCCTAATGTGGACGAAAAACGTATTGAATGAAAGGTGGGTGGTATGTAAAATCCAGTTACACTAATAATTATGTAATTAATACCTCTTAATAATACTTTGACATCATGTTTCAATTCAAACACTGTAATGATTAACTGAGCATTAAACATACATGTGATTTTTTTCCCCATTTCTTTAAATTACAATGCTCTGTATGTTTTACACGTGATTTTTTACTAGAAAAAGGAATCAGCTGCACAAATGATCATATCAGCACGCTGCAGGTTCCTACCCCATTTGCACATGCTAAAATGTGTGACAGTTATTTTATGTGAGTAATTTTATACTAGGATATCAGTCTACTGTGCTTTGCCTTTTCTTGCAAGAACGCTTAATATATAGTCATTTCATTCTCCATGATAGAGCCTTTTACAACATTCTGCAGTACTCTCATATCTTGCATTAGAGTTTATTTGTACCGTTTTTAACGTACATCCATATAAAGGAGTTGATCCTTGCATATGACATTACCTTTAAAATGAAAAATGTACTAATATCAGTAATATATACACATTAAATAATACCAGAAGAATAACACACATGTCAAAATGTAGTCTGTAACCCGTGTGAACTTTTCATTTTGTCCTGTAGGCTGTTGGATGGTAACTCCACACAGGGGGCTGGCCCACCTATCAGATAGGAGGAATAAAGGAATCAGGTCAACAGCTCCTCACCACCAGATTGTATTCCTAAGTGGTAACATCCAGTCAGTTTATCTTTTTGAAACTTTACCCCTTCTTCATCTGCCTTTGTTCATTCCGTAGGATTGCAAAACTCCAGCAACTCATGATGCCTTGATAGCTACCATCCTCTCCTCCAGAACCACGTTTGAATCTGTTCCCTGGCTCCATGGATGGCCTCCCTTACTTAAATCATCTGGTCTTCAGTGCATGTCCTGTCCACACTCCAAATAAACGTTGTAAGCTGTTTCCTAAATGCATCATCACCATTCTCTTATAGACTGTTGCTCATGTACACTTCCTGATTCCATATGGATCTTCTCACCTGCCCACAACTTTGCTTTCTCCACACTGAAATACATAATCTTTGCTACATGTAATAATGAAGACCCCAATGACAACAAGAAAATAAGGAACATTTGCATTACATAACCCTTTTGAAAACAAACATTTGTCAAATAACTTGTGTTAGCTATTATTTAATGAAGATTGTAGCCATGTTACACCTACTGAATATGATTTGATTTTCATGTTTCTGTTCAATTTCTGTATATTACACAAAATGTCAACTGTAATTACATCACAATACATCATTGATGTCAAATAACAGTGTTGTAAAATTAACATTTGTCTTTCTAACATTTTTAACCATTTAACCATCCTTTGTCTATGGAATTACGAGCCTCACTTATGGTAATAACCATCACGATTAAACCCAGGTTTGTGTTGGTACCTGAGAATATCTCAAACAACAAGGACTCAATCACTACCAGAAATCACAACATTTATTCAGTTACAAACTAGGCTACACACAGGGAACACTAAGGACACAACAAGCTCATCCAGATTTGTCATGTAGGGCTGCAGTCTTTTAACCCACATGAAAGAATCACACACGGAGAGAGGTGAGTAAAATAATACATGTTTTATTATAAAGAAAAATAATAACAAAAAGCGCTGATCCAAACTGGGCCAGGGGGAGTATTCCAATCCTAAAATAGAAGATAACAAAATGAATACTGACAACCAGGCAAACACCGGAGTAATGGTGGCGTAGTCTTACTGTGTGAAGTGGGGTTTTGAGCAGGAGAGGGAGGCAAGTCAGGTCTGAGCTGGAGATGGTCTGGTGGAGAGGAGTAGCAGGCAGTGAAGTAATCCAGGACAGGTGAGAGGTGGAGAGCGGGAGACCAGAGGAGTTGAGCGGCGTTGGGTGAAAAATCCACTTCAGACAGCAGGAAGCTGAGGTAAGAATCCAGGGCTGGTACTGCAGCAGACAAGGAGAATAAAACTGAGCACGGGGGAGAAAAAACACAAGGCTAGATTTAAACAGGAACGAGGAGAGCTACAGTACCCAACAATAGAGTATCAACCGGCGCTGAAGTGTGGCAACACTGCTCCTTATATCCTCTGGCCTGGCTGATGGTCATCAGCTGCAGCTGGGGCTCTCCAACCTGCTCACCTGCAAACACTTACCCCTTCTTTCCACTGGAGCCGTCAGCAGCACGTTACTGCAGCAGCACGTCAAGCTGCTGCTTGGCCCTTCCCACGAGACGTGAAGCAGCAGGGGAGCAGCTGTCACCGACCGAGCACAAAGTCACACGAGTGACTTCGTCAGTAAACACAACAACAAGCAGGAGAAAACTACAACATGGCTCCAAAAGGTTTGTGCTTTATGTTCTGTCCATTTTATAATCGCCAATACGGACCTGAAAAACAAAGGAGACCGCTAGCTAGGTGATAACTTCTCACGGGGCCGCACAGTTAGTAACCTTTTTTAAAGTAGAGCAACCGAAGGCAGTACGTTTCTTTATTCTGAAAATCTCGGGAGCTTCGCTACGTTTCCGCGTCCGATTTCCTGTCTTTCCTTCCCCAAAAATGTCGAACTTGACCCGTTTCAGAGGCGTCGCGAGTAGAAAATAGAACTGGCGCGTAAAGGCCGTGACATGCTGCTCCTGAGACGCGGCCGACTCGCGCTGCTGACGGCTGCTGAAGGCTCCGGTGGAAAAGGTTCTGTTGACCACAGCGGCTCCTATCAGCAGCTATGACGTGCTGCTGCAGTAACGTGCTGCTGACGGCTCCTGTGGAAAGAAGGGGTTAAGAGCACAGCAGCAGAGGAAAAGCAGAGCCATGACAAGATCACAGTAAATCAACAGGTGTAAAAGGCCTCCACACCAAGCCTGAACAAGAGCACTGCAGCACTGCAAACTTACTGTACACAGAACCACAAGACAGTACAGATGCTTGGGTCAGAGGCTAAAAACGGGGCAGATGAACAGTTTAACAGCTGAAATGGCAGAAATCAAACCTAACATGGATTACAACCTTGTATTGATTTTTTTACATTTACAACTTTCAGTGTCTGACTTTCAGGTGATATTGTCTGTCAATGTTCAGGCGTTTTTAGCTGCTGTGGTCTTCTGCAGAGCAATTCCTGTCCTGCTGCAGACAAAATACTTTCTTGCATTCTTAGCACATCCAGGGAGTGCTTTTTGCACTGCGTGTACCTGGTTTATCCATGACGGGAAGCTGATAGCCAGGAGTTCTTCTGGGGATAAATCTGGGTGGCGTGGGTTGACAGTACCTGGGTTTCACTTTGTTGTCCAGGAGTCCAGAAGATGTGGAGCATCTCCAGCAAGATCCTTCCTCTGACACTGCCCATTGCTGGTGAATAGCTCATCAGAAGAATCTCTAAAATTAAAAATATATCAAATCATATAACATTTAAATTTTCAAGCAGTAAATACTGGTAAATGAAAACTGAATAAAATAAAATTAAACACAGAACTAAAGTTAAAAATATTTTTGAACTGTAGATAAACTTACTGCAGCTGTGATGGGAAATCATCTTCACTCGCACCTGAATCCTCAACCACAGATGTATATGGAGGTTTTGTTTTCCTGGAAGTAGCAGTAGTAGTATAATAGAATAGTAATAGTATTAGCACAAATACTGGACAACAAAAACTGGAACGTCTTTAGTGGAAATATTTAGTGCAGAGAAACTTACTGCGTTTGTGACGGAAAAACGATGAGGGCACATCTTGCTCCTCATCAACAGATCTTGAGGAACATTTCCTATTTCTAGAAGATTTCCTGATTTCTTTCATTATTTACAAAAACGAATCTAACATAAAACAATAAAAAGCCTCCGTGAAAAATGCATCTGAAAAAAAAAATACGGGTGGTAAAACAAAAACAAACATGGCAAAAAATGTCACAAAAGTCTCAATGTATGCTAAATTACTAAATGCAAACATAAAGTACGATACTTACCGAAAATATTTATTATATCAGTATAAGAGAACAGTGGCGGCTGGTGAAAAATATTTTTGGTGGGGCTGTGCTATTTTTTTTAACAAACTTGTGCTTTCTGACCTTTGTGCACAACTTCACTATTTCCTGAATTAAGCACAGCTCTTTTATTTCCTGTCTTACATTATTGGACAAAGGGATTAATCCACGTGTGTCTGACTATTGGCACGCTGCCTTGCGGACCAAGGCTGAAAAATACTGCATTAAATTGCACATAAAATAACACGACCATATATGGTCCACATCCACATTACCGTTTGTGAAACTAACATACTGGAGAATTTCATCACAATAATATTAAATAAACAAGTATGTACCTGATCTTTTGCATGCTGTTGGTGAAGCTTTGGATGACCCCTGTGATGGAGACAGACTCAATGTTCCTCTTCTGCAGCTGGTTGAACAGCATGTCCACATGTGGCATGATCTTGTGACACAATGCCAGCAGAAAGCCGAAATCTTCTTCCTCCAGCATTCTCACAAAGCCTCCTGCCTCTCTCTCAGTGACTGGATCAAAGTCATCCGAGTCTCTGATCATCTGGAAACATCTGAGGAGGTCATCCTTGTGCTCATACACTGTGTTGACATCTCTCTCTTGGACAAAATGTGCCGGTTCTGATCCACTTCTTCATTGTGTTTATTCACAATGTGTTTGCAGTGGTTTATTCATGTTCGTAACTCCTGACTCAATCCATGCCTCATCTGTCACAGTCGTTTGGAAAGCAAAATAACGCATTAGCGTGATTGCATCCAGCTAGCCAAGCCTTCCCAGAAGCCTCGTGTGTACAGTTTACCTCTCTCCTCCTCCTGCCGGCTTATCTTTACGTCGGGCTGATCTGGTCCAAGCTCTTTGACATTAAGTTTTTCCACCATAGTTCTCCTCTCGAACTGGAGAAGAGACCGAACTGAATTCAGTGGCTGCTGAGATCCGGTATCCATGCTGCTGCTGGTTGTAGGCGCACTGGCTTCCATGTTTATTCCGTATGCGTCACGATCGTCACGAGTCATGACCAAAAACGTGCTGGAGTCGATCTCCGAGTTCTACCGAGCACTAGCGAAAGCCTTTGGCGGTAGCTCTATCGCCCGTCATGCTTCTGAAACAACGTCGACGCTGATTGGATACATTCCCATTCCTACCCTTTGATTTTCTTGTCAGCAATTGGACGACTGGTCTCGTCCCGTTTGGCCGATTGAAACACAACACACAGCCTCCACCGCTCGGCAGAGCTCGGCAGAGACCGGCAGAGACCAAAATAGAAATATATATATATGATTTATTTTTGTTACAAAACACACAATTAACTTAGAATATGTGATTATTGTTAATTGTATTGATTTATTTTTTAAAATAAAAAGCCTTCTGGCTAATTCTTAGATTTAAAAGAATGGTGTTGATGCTCAAATTATTTTCAAATAAACAATTCTTTAGGATTCAACGGTGTTTGTATGTGTGTATTTTAGTTTGCATCTAATGTTGAAACTACAAAGATTTAATTAGTGCACAGTCGAAATGTTTCTGACAATCACATACAAAGAAAATTTAAAATTTATTATTTAGTACAAAAAAACAGCAGATTTACATTTTTTTCGTACACTAATGCAAAATCAGTTTTACATATTCTAGCAAATGACAGTAGCACTGTTTCTTGTCTGCATGGGATCATGGGAGTTGATAATTTTTGGTGTGTTTTTTTTGGGAACAACGCTCTTACAGGGGTTTGTTAGAGCAGCACACACAATCACATCTAGAATGTTGAGTTGTGACACAGGAATTACTGTTTGAAAAATCTTACATTTCTTCCAGCGTCCTATTACTCATTCAACGTGTATCCTGACACGAGACAGTTGTCTTGATGAGTCTACCTCCTGAGCTGAGAGTTGCTTTTTCCCTTTTGTGAAATGACGTATACGGAGAGTGGCTCCACAAGCGGCAAGTTCATCTCGGATTTGAAATCCTCTATCAGCTACAATCTCATCATTGTGTTCTAAAAGACCAACCCCGACTCTTTTGTTATTTGTTTGTCTGAAACCCTTACACCCCATCCAGGTGACAGAAAGGAAATTGCTCCAACTGGGGTGATGCCAATCAAATATTTAATTGTGTTGCTGTGTTTGTAATTTGACCATGTCTGGGCCCTAGCAGTTAGATTGCTAGGTCTAGAAATGAACATTTCTGTACAGTCTATTATGCACCGACATCGTTTGAAATTCCGTCTGAAAACTTTGGGCATGCTCTTTAGTACGGCTCCCTTACTTGGCCATTTAATGAGTGGTTTAAGTATTACAGACACGGCAGGTATCCAGCTTCGACAAATATTTGATATAGTTGTTTTAGAAACATTAAATCTGTATGCCAAATCCGTGTTGCTTAGACCCAGTGTTAATTTCATTAGTACAACCAATTGATGATCTTGAGCGGTTAGTTTTTGGCAAATTATCTCCACACTATCTGTTACTTTTGTTAGGAGCCAATCAAAGACAAGAGTTGTAAGTCCTGTGAAAAAAACAGTGCTCCCCTGTTGTACCTAATATTTGCATTGGAAAACGCTTAATTTGTCAGCTCCTCTTTAAGCTTGCAATTTTCTGCCTTAAGTTTTTCAAACTCCAGCTGCAGGTTGACATGGTTTTTATGAAGCACAGCATATCTTTGTTGCAGGCCATCTTATTCTCTCCTTGGAACAGGGAGGTCCTCTTCAGCTTTAACACAGAAATATGAAAAGTTATCAAATGCAGCAACAAGTCCACACAAATATTTTTATTGTAACAGAAAATACAAAATCCTTACCGGCATGGTGAGCCAATGATGGTTGCTGATCTGTATTCTCTGAAGCAGCCAGCTGATTTGATGGCATGCAAGACGTTTCATCCCTTCTCCTTTTCCATTGATACCTTAATGTAACAGGTCTAAATTACTTAACAGTTACACAAGTCAAAAGCCAAGATATAATAACACTGAACATCATGAATAGCAAGAATTTCTAAATATTAAATATATCTGTGATGGGAAGGTGTAAACATTACCTGTCCATCTTTGCATGGGGGTTTGGACTTCGCTTTGTGTACGTAAACACAGAAGGCACAAAATCAGGACTCGAGGAGTCCAATGACACCTCGCCTGTAAATAAATAGACTGCTTAAAAGCAAACCAGCAAACACAACTTACTTTATTTTATAGAACACAAGTTAACCGGCTTTCTGGTGTAATCTTAGTACATAATAACCTTACCTGATATAAAATGGGCGCTACAAACTCGAGCATTTTGGATCGTGTTTTCAGTCCAGTTTTCATCAACCCTTTTGATGGCCTGCAGCCACAGACGCCTCCGATTTTGTTGAAATGGATTTGCTCCCTTCGGAATTCTGTAAAGTTTCAGTCCACTGCTTGAAGAGAAGCGATTCTGGCATCCATACAGGCAACAACCCGACATTTTTATGTGCTCAGAACTTCAAAACAAAGGGTTTAAAATGCTGTTTTAGTATCGAGTGTGAATGAGGAACCCTTCACTCTCGTTGCCAGGCTGCGCACGCAACTTTTTATGACGTAAGTAGTAAAAGGGTCTATAGACATGATTATGTAGACGCCACATTTGACGCTGGAGAACGTAAAAACAATGCCGCCATATTGGATGGGTCTCCTCACTCTCCAAAATCAAAGCAGACTGAGCAGCAATGCCCGTTTATGTGCAACCGTTGGTTACAACAACCGTCGTACTATTGACAAAATATCATATGAGATTACTACTTGCTTTTCTACCCTATCAGTTAGATATTTCTATTAAAAATTATTACATATCGTGCTTAAACACATTTATATTTTAATTATAATACCATACCTTGTGTCTATATTTTAATTGTCATGCCATACCTTGTGTCTGCTTTTGTGAAAAAGCTTCATAAAATGTGTTTTTTAACTTGGGTCAGCACCTTCCTCAGCATGTACAGGGGCAAATGGAGAAACATCTCAAATGGCAACCAGCCACTACAACATCTCCAATAGGCGGCACCAGTCCATTGGGCATCTATGTATATATATATCTATGGTCTACTAAGCCTAAACCCTCCTCCTCACTCCAGATGTCTTAACCTAGATTAACACTGATTCTGCACAAATAAAAGCTCAACAATGGTCAATCCCCATACCCAATAAAATGCAAAATAAAGATAAAAGAACACTTAGCTCTATTTGATGTTCAATACACCATCCCCACATCTAAGCTTTCTTAGCTTGGCTCCAAGTGGCACGATCCACTGGCTCAGGACAGTGACATCTTCCATACATGGCATTATGTTCCCCCACAACTGGAAACAGAGGGTCTCTCCTAAAATTCATATTCACTATCCATGTTGCCTTCCTATAACAGGAACCTGACCCTACAGCCTCTAGCTTTCTTCCCAACCTTAAATAGCAAACTGACATCACAAGACCCCACCACTGAGTACTACAATAGTTGCTTGGCTAGGCTACATCCTACTTCACTTCACCTAATCTGCTCTCCAGACATATCTGCACTTAATATGGCCCTTCCCTTATCCTGTCCACACCAGACATTTCAGCTGCACAGCTACAGTCACTTAACCTCCCTACCATCATCAAAATTCACTCTTGAGTCCTCTATAAAATAGGTTAATATTCATTTAAACATTAATTTGGCCACAGTTAAGCTCAACTCCCCTTTTCTTATGTGATGAGGAGGAGAGGATGAGGCCTTCAAGTGGAAAAGCTAATAATGCCACACTGCCCTTTTCAAACCACAACAGCCATACCCTCTCCTGGTCCTGGAAAAGCAGTAGCTAGCATGTTTTAGTTTTAACTGTGCTTCAACACACCTTATTTCAATCAGCAGGTGATTTACAGGCTTTTGAAAAACCTGATGACCTTCTGCTCAATGATTCAACAACAGAATTAGCTGTGTTGGAGTACAGAAACATGGATGATAACTTTGGAAGATAACCACAGGAGGGAGGACTTTTCCATGACTGAGCTTGATTGCAGATTTGCAGCTTGACATGTCCTGTTTGTCCCCTCTGACTGGTATCTGTTGAAAAAAGCATAACATCTCAACTAATCACAGTTTTTAAAATGTAACATACAAAAGACATAATGAGCTTGTATAGTGCTATGATGGAGAATCCTATGAATTAATTTCTAATGTCAACTGAGTTTATACAACCTTGTTGATTCACCTTTCAGCCCACTGTAAAATAAAACTAAACCAGCTACTACATACATTTAAATAAAACTGATTCTGGTTTAACCTACGTTCATTAGTATTTCTGTGTGAGACAAATGTGAGAAACGAAATAACAAAAAAACAAGTTATGAAGAGGGATGGATCACGCCTCTAGTACAT